AGCCAATAAGGAGGGAATATGCTAATTGACTATCACGCCCTCAAAGATGGCAGCACCCACAGCCACAAGATGGCCGGCAGGGGAGAGCAGTTGTGAGCGATTGGGCTGACAGGGGAGGGCAGTTGGGGGCGATCGGGCTGGCAGGGGAGCAGTTAGGCGTCAGTCAGGCTGGCAGGAGAGTGGTTAGGGAGTGATCAGGCTGGCAGGCAGAAGCGGTTAGGGGCAATCAGCCAGGCAGACAGATGAGCAGTTGTGAGCCAGCAGTCCTGGATTGTGAGAGGGATGTTCGACTGCTGGCAGTTGGACATCCCCCGAGGGGTCCCAGATTGGAGAGGGTGCAGGCTGTGCTGAGGGACACCCCGCCCCCCCTGCACGAATTTCGTGCACTGGGCCTCTAGTGTAAGATATAACATTCCTTTCAAAATCATTATAAGAAAATTATGGACACACACTTTTTTATTTATTTGTGGCTTAGGTTCTCATATTTTCAACTATTATATGTGACTTAGGAGATGGAAAGGGAGTAGTTTTTGGTGAGTATTTATTTTAAAAGTATTATTTCATCCAGCTTGATCACAAAGGATAAATTTATTTCAAAATGTTCTTTTACATTTTTTTCAGTACTAGATCAAAACTACAATTAGAGCTGAAGTATAAGTTTTGAAAAACAGCATATGTGATTTTTTTCTAAGAGTTTTTTTTCTATGTATCTTTATTGTTGAAAGTATTACAGATGTCCCCTTTTTCCCAGCATTGATGCCCTCCCCCAGCACTACCCTCTAGGCCTTCACCACACTACTGTCTGTGTCCATGGGCAATGCACATATGCATGTCAATTCTTTAGTTAATCACTTCCTGTTGCCCCCCTTCACTCTGAGATTCATCAGTCTGTTCCTTGCTTCTATATCTTTGGATCTACTTTCTTCATCATTTTATTTTGTTCATTAGATTCCACATATTGATATGTATAGGCTGAAAGGATTGTTTCCATCATAAGAATGTGTGGTGGGTGGGATTGTAAACATGATCTTATTAAAATCATGAATTTTAGGGCAAGTGTCCTGGATGGAGTCTCATTTAAGTCATTACCATTTATTGTTTTTGTTCTTAATTTTCAAATATTAACAAAAGCAGAGAGAATCTCAACTATTATTATTCAGATTTGAATTGTCAATTTTTCCCTTCTTTCCTTCCTTCCTTCCCTCCTTCCTTCCATAAGAAAAATAATAACTTCCAAAGAGGTCCTTGTTTTAATCTCCTGAACATGTGAATATGTTGCATAATATAATAGAGGGAAATTATCATTGCAAATGGAATTAAGATCAATAATCTATGTCCGGCAAGTGTGGCTTAGTGGTTGAGTGTCGACCTACGAACCAGGAGGTCACAGTTCAATTCCCAGTCAGGGTACATGCCCAGGTTGCAGGCTCGATCCCTGGTAGGGGATGTGCAGGAGGCAGCTGATTACACTTGATCTTAGCCAAAAGGCCGACAAGCGATTGAGGCAGCTGATTAATAATTCTCTCTTATTATTGATGTTCTTATCTCTCTCTCCCTTCCTTTCTCTGAAATCAATAAAAATATGGTTTAAAAAACAATGAGAATATTGTATGTGAAAACCAACATAAGTAGAACTGTAAATTCATCATATATTAGATATAGAATAGAAAGTAGTTATGATTATTAAGACTCCATAAATAAAATGCTGTCTTACATTAGGTTCCTTAGAAAGCAGAGCTTGAGATGCAGATTTAGATAACTGTATTTTTTTGTTTTTTAAGATTTTATTGATTTCAGAGAAAGAAAGGGAGAGGGAGAGAAAGAAACATCAATGATGAGAATCATCAATCAGTTGCCTCCTGCATGCCCCCTATTGGGGATTGAGCCTGCAATCCGGGCATGTGCCTGGACAGATGGAGAATCAAACTGCAACATCCTAGTTAAGTATATTTTATTGAAGGAAGTGTACTATTAAGGAGAGAATTAATGAGAATATGGAAGGGGAAGGAGCTGAGCAAGTATAAAATCCAGGTGACATTCCAGTTTTGGCTTAATCCACAGATTAAGGAGAGTTTCTGAAGCATTAAATTGCAGTGTGTGTGTGTGTGTGTGTGTGTGTGTGTGCATGTACATGCGTGTGGGCCTATGTATGTGTGTGTCTCCTCTTTCTCTTTTTCCCTTCTACTTGTATAGAAGTTATAAATTTATTCTCTATCATTTTAATAATCACCCTGGTTATTTTAACATGCTTACATGGCACAATCAACAGCTACTATTGACAATGGTCAGGAGCAAGGAATGCTCATCTTTACTGTTTGGAGTGAACCTGCTGCACACATTTTGGAAAACAGTATAATAGCACACACTAAAGTTGAGCGCATGTGTGCCCTATTTCCCAGCATTTTCACAGTTATATGACCTGGACAAACGTTAGAATGTGTATACTAAGAATGTTCATAGGTGTGTTGTTGTAATATTAAAAAATCTGGAACAACTCAAACATTCATTAGTTGTTGTAGAATGAAGTAATAATTCCAATTATATAAGAGAATACCGAGCAAAGTGAAGATGGATGAAAACAGAATATACAACAAATAAGTATAAAAAATGTCAAGCAAAAGAAGCAGAAGAATATACATTACCTTTATGCAAAGCCCACACATAAGCAAAATTAGCTAATATATTTTTATGAGTACATATATAGGTGTAAAACTTTAAGGTAAGTAAGGAAATGATTAATATAAATTATAATCCAATAATGATCTTTGCCCTAGTCTGTATGGCTCAGGGGTTGAGCATTGACCTTTGAACCAGGAGATCACAGTTTGATTACCAGGCTGTGGGCTCGATCCCCAGTGTAGGGCGAGCAGGAGGCAGCCGATCAATGATTCTCTCTCATTGATGTTTCTAGCTATCCATTCCTTTCTGAAATCAATAAAGATATGTTTAAAAATGATAATTATTATTATTTCTGGATTAGGGAAGGGGGCGAATGCAAGCTGGGAGAAAGGGAATTTCTAATGCTGTTTCTTAATAAGGACATAGTGCTGATCATGCTTTACATGATTTGTATATGTAATTTGATGTAGTTTTAACATTATTAGCATGAAATATTTTAGAACTTAAGCTTATAAGTATTTTCATACACCTTCCCTTATGCAACCGCCTAATTAATACCCATGAGATTTTTCTTGCATAGTGTCATCTGTTTGTCTTTTATAGAGGTCACAGTTTGTAATGATCTATTTACTTAGGTGTTTATGATTATTGTCTGTTTTTCCCACTAAGCTGAAACGTGTTCCCTGACAGCTGAAACCATGTCTGTTTTGTTTACCACAGCGAGGTTGAAAGATAGTTTCTTCCACATGAGGTTGTATATGGTTGAGGTTTAAGGTTTTGAGAACTTTCCCATCTGTGAAGATAAATTTTTCCAAAAGCTGGAGTGGGAATCTTTACTAAAGCAATTATGCAGCCACTCAACTAAGATAAGATAAAGAGAGCAGCACAATACATAGTACATTCTTGATAGACATCACTACTTCTTGGTATTGTTAGAATTCTGCATCTTTTTATTTAATTCTAACATCCAAGTGGTTGTCCAAGTTAATTTCATTCAAATTTGTTTCAATATGGAAATAATTATGTCATAGTCACCCTTTCTTGCTGTGAATATATACAAATGTAGAAGTTTGTCAACCTGTGAATAGTGATTATGGTATCAACAGCTAAAAACTAGGGACATCCAACAGGGCAGAGTACAACTCTAGCTTTCATAGAGAATAAGATTTGGAATAGAGGTTAAGAAATGAGGCACTCATTTCTTAATTCTAACCCTCAAGTGCCAGCATCATGGAGTGATTTCTTTCACTATTTTAGCGGTAGAGTAACATCCAATGTCTTTTATCCAGGGAAGTTGCTATTTAAAAAAGGAGAAATTATGATAACATTATATAAAGGGATATCCTTGAAAAGTGATTTAGGGCCCAAGAGTGGGTGGAGAAATCAATTTAACAAGTTTCAACCAACATTTGTTGTAATGAGATAAAACAGAATAATAAATATCAGAGTACAGATAAATAATTCATGAACCTTTGGTTTTTGCTATATATACCACTTTTAATTCAACCTAAGGTGCTTTCTATTCATTGTGAGAAGCATGCTAATGTCAGGGATGGTAATGAAAAAGAATGTCCAATGGCAATTGTAAGAAGCAGTTGATTGAAAATTGATAGACTTTTCTTTCACAGATGTTAAAATATTGTTAAAAATTGTGTGTTAAAATAAGGCCTATCCACACATAAATGTAGGTCTGTTTTTAGATATACAGTGGGGCCTTAACTTACAAGTTTAATTTGTTCTGTGACGGAGCTCGTAACTCAAATTACTCGTATGTCAAATCGTTAAAGTGAACGAGTGAGACACGTGATGCTGGGCTGATGTTGTGACGTTCACTGTGATGTTCGCTGCGCCAACTAGCGGTGGGGTGTCTGAAGCTGGCTCGTAACCCGAATTTTAGCTCGCAACTCAAAGCAAAAAATCGGCAGAGATGGCTTGTATCTCGAAAAACTCGTTAGTCAGGACACTCGTAAGTCAAGGCCCCACTGTATTTCTTAATGTGGATTGTGGCCAAAAATATTTGAAAGCCACTGCTCTAGAAATTTTTTTTTTCTGTTCCTTAGATTGGAGCTGGATAGAATATCTCAAAATCATACATATATCAGATGGTTCAACTATAGTGCATATAAGAAAGTCTTTGGGTAATGTAAGCTAAAGTGATATTTAGAAAATTGACACAAAAATTTCACATATATTATGAAATTGTCAGTCAATGAGAAATTAAACCAGTAACAATATTTCACTGGCCATGAACTGTAACAGCTAACCAAGACTCTGTACATAATATTTAGACCATTGAAAACCTTGATTCACAAAACACCAAGAAATTGGATAGACATTTAGATTCCTCAGGAACATTGACTCCTAAAAGAATTATCCCATATTTTTTTGTAAAGTATGCAATTCATTGCCAGTTAGGTGTAATTAGTTTTTTAACATTTCTAATGATTAAAACTTGAATAAAAATCATAAAATAATCACAGCAGCTTTCAGTTTGCTTAATTTGTTCTAAACACTGTTATGTTTTCTTTCTGCAGCCTCAAGTGCAGAATTGAGCAGATTGATAAATTTATAAACATCGTGGAAAGAATTGTAGAGAGGAACTGGAGCCACTCGGATGCCATTGGGTTCCCGCTTGTCACACTGTTGGGGGAAAATAAGGCCACAATAGTGTCAGCTTTATTCTCATAATGAAAATCTGCGTTCGAGATGAACTTACATGAAATAGTCATACTGATTTCCCTAAAACTTACTATATAAGCAATTTTTCATTTTAATTAAAATATAAAGTTTCTATGTTATGTGAAACTCTCTTCTTAATTATAACTAAACCATTAATGGGCTGTTACATGAATATCCAAAAGCACTTTTCTGAAGTCCATTTAGGTCATTTTCTTTAAGCATTTAATAGAGCATATGTATGATTCGTCTGTGGGAGACACTGGAGAGCTGGGAATCTTGGACACATTTACATGAATGAGAACCTCACACTGCCCTGGCAAGTTCCAGTCAAATATCCTTACATTTAATTCTCTAAGCCCTAATCTCGCAGGTAAGGAGTTGGCTATATTCCTGACGTGCGCCTCAAGAAGAAAGATTCATTTGATGTGAACCCAGAGAAAGAATTTATCTGCCCCATGGTCAACCAAGGGCCCAAATATTATGAATTACAGTCAGTGTCATTTGCTGACAGGGGCTCCTCACATACTCTGTACATGGAGAAAAACCTCAAATTGAACTTTAGGCTTCCTGCAGTTTGTTTACCATCTGAGTCAACAACTGTGGGGAAACCATGGTTTCATCTTTCTACCAACAGACTGAGGCCTGCCCCATCCAATCAGAATGGCTCAATTTGTATCTTTATTTTAACTATACTGACCAATCACAACTGCACAATAGGATACCTCATTTACATGGACATAATTGGAAACCTGGGTGAGAACTTTCACTATAAAAGGTGGCTTCCCCTTTGTCCAGGGTTGTTGAATACAATTTAGGTTGCTATCTAAACCTGTGTTCTCAGGCTATATCTCCTTTTGCTCAAATAAGTCTTTTTGTTATTTATTACAGTCTAAAATTAGTTTGGGTTTACACTGGGAATACCGAAATGTTATGAAATGGGCCCAGACAATTTGACCTCGCCTGAAGTTCACTAGAACTATATTAAGAAACTAGAGGCCCAGTGCACGAAATTCGTGCACTCAAAAGGGGGGAGTCCCTCAGCCCAGCCTGCGCCCTCTCGTAGCCCAGGACCCCTCAGGGGATGTCTGACCGATGGCTTAGGCCTGCTCAGCCATCAGTGGGACATCCTTAGCACTGCCTCGGAGGCGGGAGAGGCTCCTGCCACCACCGCTGCCCTTGCCAGCCGTGAGCCCGGCTTCTGGCTGAGTGGCACTCCCCCTATAGGAGTGCACTGACCATCAGGGGACAGCTCCTACATTGAGCATCTGCCCCCTGGTGGTCAGTGCACGTCATAGTGATCGATCGTTCTGCCGCTTGGTCAATTTGCTGCTTAGTCAATTTGCATATTAGCCTTTTATTATATAGGATACCCACTACAGGCTAGACAGCATAGTAAATGGTTCATGTGTGTTGGTCCATTTCATTCCCATACCAACTCTTTGAAGTATACATTTGCACCCCAAAACAGATGCGAATCTCAGGCTGATACACGTTAACTTTCCCAAGAGCACATGTCTTGGTCATATTGATTTGCAGGGGTGATATTCTGATTGGTGCCTCCAGAGTCTGTGGTGGTGACCTCTTCTAAAGGTCTGGAGGGCCACACGAATGGAGCAGTCCCTCGTTTGCATTATCACCACTTTCCCGAGGAAATTATTCTCTTAACACCTATTATTTCCTTTCAAGAGACTAAGAAGGCCACTTTGTCCCAATGGTTAAAAAAATTATTTCATACAATGTTAACACTCCTCAGATGTGCCTATATATCTTTTATGACTTAAGTGACAAGCTTGAAAATAACTTAGTTTAATCAAACAACAAAATAAGATTGACTTCTTTTTCTCTCCTCCATCATAGTGGTATGTTCTTTAATTCTATGTATTCAATAAATATGTATTGGGGCTTTTACTTGTAAAAGCTAGCGAGAATGTGTCCCAATTATGATGAAACAATATTTGCTGCTCACACTGTAATAAAAGTGAATAAATTACATAAAACTGTACTTTGTATCCAAAATTTGTGTTTTTTTCTTTTTTATCAGAAATGACAGATCTCTGTGCCCTTTAATTAGAAAGTCCCGAATACTGACTTAGTTGGCACTTAATTTATCCCCAGTAACTCGCTGATTGATGTGAAATTACATGCACCAGTGAAAGAATAAACTAAAGAATCCAAATTTCCCCCCTAACATGCAACCCCTAGAGAAAACCGGGTAGCAAAGCAAGAGATATACTTACAACCACTCCTCTTTTTTCTAGTTCTTGATATATAGATTTTATTGGAACGGAAAATGTTAATGTTAGCTGGCAGCCGCGTTCCTCTATACGGGATGGAGTGATTACGTTCACCACTGGTGTCTTGGCTTCTGCTTTCTCTTTGCCATAGTAGTGCTTGATCAGGTATTCCAGGTAACCCGTGAGCAAAACAGACTTTCTTCTCAGTGCTTTCATGGTTGCTTTCTTAAAGATCTGTAGAATGAGAAACAGTCAGATTAGCAACATTTTGTTGATTTACAAAGAAGCAAAAATAAATTGCAAATCGTGCATAAAAAAGGAAGTCACCACTTTTAACCTCTCCAAAAACCATCCCATTTTAAATAATCGTTTTGTAAAAATATGTCCTCTTTTAAATCCTTTGCCATCAAGAACTGAATGCAAAGTTTCTATATCAGAAAAACTTCAAAAGTGCCATTTAAACAATACTTGCAAAAGAAAAAAAAGGTGATGTAATGTTCCTTCAGAATTATTTAAATTAGCTTAGAATAATTACTATAAGTGTCCCTTAATAAAGGAATTAAAATATCACACAATTTGAACCCTTTCTCCAAAACCATCATAATCAAGAAGATGTTTTCTTTTCTGATATGAAGTTTGTTTGGTCCACAAAATAATACAGTAAGAGCTAAATGTGCATGCCTATGTGGAAGGTAATGTTGAAAATATTATTTACAGATGTTTGACCAAGTCCTGAATCTCCTCCAGTTTAGCAGTAAGAAAACAGCAAGTTTTATCAGACAGAAAAGCAAAAAATGTTACACACTACATTTGTTAGTACTAAAGACTCGGCTTTTTTTTCCCCTTTCTTCCCCCCTCACCGCCACCCCCCTCCCCTGCTTTTTTTCTTCTTTCATCACTTTCTTCCCTGTTACACTCTAGTGTGGTCTGAAAACACTGCAATTTCCTGCCTGAGGTGTCTTATATTAAGATGAGTGACAAGGGCACACAGTAACTGGTGTTGGAACATTAGAGGTCAGAACAGACATGCTTTTCTAGCTTATCTCAAGGTCAAGTAGAGTTTAAAAATATATCCTTGCTATAAGAGCTGAATGAACTTCAAACAGAGTGTGATGCACTGGCCTGCCACTTTCTGTCCCTTTACTGTATCATGTTATGCCACAGAGCAAAGACAGGGTCTTTCAATGGTATGTAGACTTCATAAAGTCTATGAAAACACTTATATCTGTATATATGTGTGGGCCCGCATTCTAACAGGAGTAAACACTTCAGGCATACATGTTCTTCCCCTTCATTGCATGGAGGGTATAAATTTGGCTGAAGAAGAGGAAGGGAGTTGTATTTTTTTTTCTTTCAACCTTTTCTTTATATTACAGACAATGATTTAAAAAAAACCCACAATTCATACCAATCTGGACTTAACGTTCAAAGCTCTCTCATCCAGAACCACGTATCTGACTGTTACTGGACATTCTAATCGGATACATGTTTAACAGGTATTTCTATCTAAACATATTCAACATTGGGATTCCCAATATTCCTCCCAAAGTCACCTTCTCCTGTAGCCTCCACCACCTCAGTTTTTGGCAATTCCCTCCCCACCAGTTTTTCAGGTCAATCACTTTGGTATCATCCTTGACTCCTTTATTTTCCAAACAACTCCCACAAATCCATCTGCAAAAGCTGGTAGCTCTACCTTCAAACTATATCTAGAATAAGATCACTTCTAACTATCCACTTTACCATGTTTCCAGCCCACACCACTCATCTCTCAGGCAGCATAGAATGGTATCTGTCTCCCTTGCCACCCAGACCGCACAGACTATGCCTGCAGCCTGGGAGGAGATCAGCTGCAAGGGGAAGCCGCTGCCTTTGTTTCAGAAGGCATTTGTGGTCCCAGTGCAAAGAAGACAGTCATCCCCCCCTTATTCGTGGCTTTGCTTCCTGCAGTTTCAGTTGCCCATGGTTTCAGTTGCCCTCCCTCAACCGAAGTCCAAAAATTAAATTAAAAGTTCCAGAAATAAACGATTCATAAGTTTTAAATTGTGCACCATTCTGAGTAGCCTGATGAAAATCTGTTGCATTTCTGCTCCATGTCGCCCAGGCTGTGAATATTCCTTTGTCCAGTGTCTCCACGCTGTGTGCCCTCCCACTTAGTCGTCAGCGTGGTTATCAGATCAGCTGGCATGGCATGGCAGTGCTTCTAGTCCTGCAAGTCTTACTTACTTCATAATGGCCCCAAAGTGCAAGCATAGTGAGGCTGGCAATTTGGACATGCCAAAGAGAAGCTGTAAAGTTTGTCCTTTAAGTGAAAAGGTGCAAGTTCTCTACTTAATAAAGAAAGAAAAAATCTTTGAGGAGCTTCCTAAGACCTATGGCAGTGATGGCGAACCTTTTGAGCTCGGCGTGTCAGCATTTTGAAAAACCCTAACTTAACTCTGGTGCCGTGTCACATATAGAAATTTTTTGATATTTGCAACCATAGTAAAACAAAGACTTATATTTTTGATATTTATTTTATATATTTAAATGCCATTTAACAAAGAAAAATCAACCAAAAAAATGAGTTCGCGTGTCACCTCTGACACGAGTGTCATAGGTTCACCATCACTGACCTATGGTAAGAATGAGTCTTCTATCTGTGAAATTATGAAAAAGAAAAAAAATTATAAAAAAGGGTGAATACAGTACAATGAAATATTTTGAGAGAGACCACATGTGCATAACTTTTATTACAGTATACATTGTTATAATTGTTCCATTTTATGATTAATTATTGCCATTAATCTCTCACCATGCCTAATTTATAAATTAAGCTTTATCATAAATATATCATAGTATATACGGAACATGATATATACTATGTTCCATACTGTCTGTGGTTTCAGGCCTCCAGTGTGGGTCTTAAAATGGATCCCCTGTGGGTAAGGGAGTATATTCTTTAGGACTCAGGTAACCCCGGTTACATGGAGTCAGGTAGGAGGCATTTCTGTGTAAAACAAAATGTAGCAGGTCTGGCACAATGAGAACTCCACGAGGGAACATCTCCAAGTTGTTGTGTTTTTTTAAAAAAATATATTTTTATTGATTTCAGAAAGAGGAAGGGAGAGAGAAACATCAATGATGAGAGAGAGAATCATAGACCAGCTGCCCCCACTTGGGGGTTGTGCCCGAAACCCTGGCATGTGCCCTGACCTGGAGTTGAACCATGACCTCCTGGTTCATAGGTGGACACTCAACCACTGAGCAATACTGGCCAAGTTTTGGAACAAGTGAGCCCAGTTCAAGAACCAGCTTTCTCACAGAGGCAAGGTGCAGCCCACCAGGGTTTTGACTCTCAGGTTTGGAATATAAAAACATGAGAATAATCTTTCCAAGCTTCTCTTTGGGTATTAATAATTATTTGAGGAAATTTTTATTAATAAAAAATTCTGGAAAATTTCCTGGTTCTGATATGGGCCCCATAAGATACAGATGGGGGCAATGTGAGAAGTAGTACTTTTAATGATATTTCATTTGTATTCATAGGTTAGCAAGACTTTGGGGAATATTACTTAAGCTCATAATTTTTCATAGGAGGCTTTGCTCTTGCAAATTTTTCTTAATAACTAGAAACAATTTTTTTTTGACAAATATCTCAGTGTTAACATGCTATTGCTCTTTGTTAACAATAAAATAACTTTTATCTAAAACTGTTTTCCACTTTACCACCGCAGGTGCGTTCTGAGGCACCATAAAATTCTTTTCACAGAGTGTACCATAAATGTCTCTGCCGAACCCTCACATCAAAATATTAAGAGGGGCTAATGGGAGGAGTTAACAGGGAAAGGGAATAAAATCTCCTCTTTCCTTCTTGGCTTCTGATCATTTCTGTGCTTGCAGTACAGAGGCAGAATATTTTTTAATAGAAAAAAATGAAAAGTGTAATTTGAAAATATTCAGCTTATAACAGAATTCTTGGCAGTTTCATCTACTTGGGCTTTTATTTTCCCCTGAGTAAAATGAATGCAAAGTTAGATAAGTTTAAATAGGAAAAATAAGCATAAGCATGATGCTTTCAATTGTCATATTTTTCTCTTAAATTCTTAAAAATGGCTCGCTGATAACTTTCTGAGGAAATACAAAGTAAACCTCTTCTGACTTGCCATGTATTTTATTTGAGTGCTCTAATTTTTATTTTGAAGCTATTTCATTTTAAATTTGTGTCCTGAAAGGGTCTAAAATTTGTTTATATATTGCTACATCAAAATATGACCTTTCAAATTACAATATGAATATTATTTCAGTTCAAGTTAGTAATTGAAAATTGAGGAGACCACAGAAGTACTCTGGTCAAAACATTTTCACTTAGAAATTGAGGTAAATCCGTTAATGAGTAGTTGTCACTTGTGTAAGCCACACTTCGTGTCCCCAGGAGGGGTGCAGTACTTGCCAACCGGTTCCTACTCTAGTGCTCTTTCCCTTGACCCACAATATTTTTAAAGTGTTGTATAAATGATTAAGAAGAACAATATAAAGAAAATGACAGTTCAAAACTGACTATAAGGTGCTATTTTAATAGTATCATTTAAATGTACATAATTGTAAGCAGTCATTTTAAATCCTTTGCTTTAAATTCTTATTGTAACCCTGAGATCATGCTCATGTGCATTGCTTCTTAAATATAGACTCTCTCTGAAGTTGGCATTTGACCATGTGTAATATTTTTGAAAAGAGAAGTAGAGAAAACAAAGAAAGGTAGTTTGATTAAGGTATTTATTTCATTTGCTCAAACTTTAATTGCCTATCTTCCATATGCAGTCACTTCTAAACAAGTAAGTTAAGTGCAGACATGGTTAACTTATTGGTGCTTACTCACATGGCAAACTCAGAATCATCTAGAAAGGGGAACATCCTAACATTAGGTAGAGAATAGGAAACAATGAACTGTATTAGTTTGTAATTTCAGAATTTTGCAATTTATAATGTGGAGAAAGAATTTCAAAAGAATGCTTTCATCAACCTAAGGTTTGATTACCTACATATAATTTCCTTTAGGTCATTGCCTCAGCAGTGAATGACTTCAGCAAGGTACTTCTAAGAGGCTCCTGCGAAGTACTCAGGTGATAAGAAGCCTCCCCCCAGAAAAGTGTATATTCCTCTTCTGGTGGCTCTTAAGGCCCTTTGCTGGGTTTAAACTTAGATATTAAAGGAAAAGATAAACCAGTCTTCCAATTACAGCTGAGAATAGAAGCTTGTTTGGGGGACTATAATACACTATGGTAGGAAACTACTGGAGGGAAAGTTCAGAATCGGACTCTTGCCCTGGCAGAGGGGTGGGTGAATGCTGGAATAACCCACCCACCGCAGAGAATATACCAGTGGAGAGTCAAAAGAAAATTTCTAGATATGTCTGAGAAAGATAGGAAAAATAAGATGAAATACCTTTTAATATAGTTTTTTTCTAAGGTATGCCTTGGTGGCTTTTTTAAGTAGTGTAATTCATCTTCTCCCTGATATAAACTGGCAAGTAAGGTAAGCAAAACATTTTGTTTTGAAATGTTTAACAGACGCTTTTCTCTGAATGACTTTTATAAAAACAATTCAAATGTCATTATCTAATCTGCTAAGCCGATTCCCTCCAAAATTTATCACTAACAAAAATCTTGTTTACTGAATTTATTTCAACCTAAAAAAAAAAAAGCTAAAAAGTGAGAACAGCGCAAGTTCCATCTAGTGGTCAAACTGAGAACCTGCTCTTTAAATTAGGATGAAATGAAACCAACTGATTACCAGGATTTAGTAGTGAAGTTGCATAAAAATACTGTAGAGCAGTGGTTCTCAACCTTCCTAATGCCGTGACCCTTTAATACAGTTCCTCGTGTTGTGGTGACCCCCAACCATAAAATTATTTTCATTGCTACTTCATAACTGTAATTTTGCTACTGTTATGAATCGTAAATATCTGATATGCAGGATGTATTTTCATTGTTACAAATTGAACATAATTAAAGCATAGTGATTAATCACAAAAACAATATGTAATTATATATGTGTTTTCCGATGGTCTTAGGCAACCCCTGTGAAAGGGTCGTTCGACCCCCAAAGAGGTCGCGACCCACAGGTTGAGAGCCTCTGCTGTAGAGGAACTTGACACTGCTTCCCAGTGGCCAAAATGAGAAACTGCGATAATTGTTCACAGATTCCTAGAATTTTAGGCTTAGAAGAGACTTTGGAAGTATTTCCAGTCACTCCACAACACGATTTCCTAAAATATCAAAAACTATTTTATCTTTGGATGATTTAAAATTTTTGAAAATAAAATTTTATTTGAATAGCTATTTGTTTAAAAATCTCTATTAAAAATGTATATGTATACTTAAAATATATTTTACTTAAATGTGTGTATGAATATATTTTTACATAATATATCTATTTATACTGCTATTGTGCATTAAAGAATTATTAAAACTATATTTGAATAAATTTAGTCTCACTCTGAAATTAATTAATATTCAAATAATTAGTTGGAATATATAGATAGGTAGAGATACATCAAATTATTTAGATATATTGAAGTAGAGAGATATGGAGATCTAGGAAAACAAACTGGTTCCTTGGATATTATTATTTAGGGTAAGACTAAATTTATTTTAAGTAAAAATATGAATGAATTTAAAGAAAAATATTTAGCCAGTAAGAGTAGAGATTATATACATGACTATAATGGCATAGATCCCCAGTTTTAACAAAATTTACCCTAACTCATGAAACAACCTTACCCAATCTTTGTTTTACTCTGACTATTCATATATATATGTATATATGTATATACTCCCTCCTTAGTCTTCCTAAAACTTTGTCAGTTCATTGATTCACAGAACTAGAAAGACAGAGTCCCCAGTAATCATAGCATTGTCTGGCACACAGCATTCTCTTAGTAAATAAATGTTGAATGATTTAATTAATTGGGAGTTAAATATGGCATGTTTGTTTTAATATTGAGAAATCAATAGAAGATTAAGTAACTCAATCATGTTCACACAAATTGGAAGTGGAACTAAAAGTACGTCTCCCCAGGTGCATTACAGGTAACATTTACAATGTGCCAATCATCCTGCTAGGGGCTGGAGACACACATAAAAGGTGATAATTCACATACAGACGCATCCTAAAGGTGAACACTACCCTTTGCACAATGTTTGTGCACAGTGCGATGTTAGGTCGGAGGGAGCCCAGGATCAGATGCATGCAGAGGTGTGAGGAGATAATGGACCCTCCCTGGAATTTCTAACAGGTCAGCGTGCCAGACAGATGGCCACACAGATATGGGCTCCTCCCTGGAATCCACAACGACCCCCACACAGATACTGACTCCTTCCTGAATATCTTGCTGACCCCCGCCGTGGGAACTTCCTCAGCTGAATACCGTGATGACCCCCGCGGCAGGAACTTCCTCAGCTCAGGCTCCCGCCCCTCACTAAACACCTGTATAAAAGAAGTGCCGCCCCTCCCTTTTGGCGCGAATTCACTGGCCCCACCTTTGGGCTGGTGGGTCTCACTTGAGAACACAGCATTAAACTCCTTTCCTTCCCTCCTCTTTAACCTTTTGGTTCTCTTTGTTCTCTATGCTGCTTTCTGGGCCACCTCACATGCACATTATAATCTTGTTGATTAGCAGAGAAAGTACTACAGCATGTCACAATCAGGTAAAGAAAAAGTAAAGATGTGGGAAGATTGGCACACAGATCACTTACCTCTAAACTAGCGTGCAAAGGACAGACCAACAATATGGGAGGATTTGAAATTCTAAATCCATTGGCTCCAGGGATTAACTGCAATTCTGAAAAATTCATATTATGTCATTTTAATAGAATATATCTTAAAAGTTATTCTTTATGGATTTTTTTTTCAGTGACAGAGTAGTAGAGAGAAAAAGAATTAAACATTTATATCCCTAAGATTTCTGAGATATTTTAAGAGAAAATCTGTGGACCTAAAATACTGGCACATTTTCCCTTTACCTATTATGTCTGTCTCACCTGCCCCCACCTTCTTAGGAAACTACCAAACACTAGAGCTCTTAGACACAAGATAAAAATGGTCTCTTCTAAAAGCTTTTCTGGACCCTGTCCTCTGCCATTTCCAAGCCTGTATTCCTTGTTCTGCTTCATGCTATGTTCTTCCATTATTAAACCACATCAATGAGAGAAAAACATCAGAATTTAAATGACTTGTAATCATAATGCTGCCCAAAGCCAGACATACCAAATGAAATGACCTATGAAAGTGACTTTTAGCACTAGGTCAAGTGGCTTTTCTTAGGGAAAAGGAGGAAGTTAAAAAAATAATCTGCCTAAGTATGATGTGTTTAAAAGGTGAATTAATATAAGATATTATCATAATTAGAATTAATTAAATTGAAAGTTAAATCCAATAGAGTGAAAATTGCTAACTAGAGACCAAATTAAAACTAAGATTGACTAAATAAACTTTAGAATATTCTGGGTATTTTGAGATTCATCTAATCCAGGATTAGACAAGCTATGTCCTGTGGGCCAAATGTGGCCCACCACTTGTCTTTATAAATAAAGTTTTATTGGAACACAGCCGCATCATTCATCTATGTAAGTCTATGACTACTTTAGCATTACAATGGTAGAACTGAGTATTTGCCACACTGACAGTATAAACCAAAAAGCTTAAAATAACTTCTGTTTTATCCTTCACAGAAAAACTCTGCTGCCTGATCTAATCCACCTCCCTCATTTACAGATAAGAAACCCAGCACAAAAAATTTAAGTAACTGGACTGATCTCATTATTTCAGCAGCCAAGATGAAATATAGTTTTCCTGATTTGACTGGAAGAGCCCATCTTGATCCTTTGCGTCTTGGTTTTTGTAAATGTGAATTTGCTTAAAATCCTATCTCAGGGTTGGACGTCATCTGAATGATCAAGTTTAAGTGGAATTCTTGCAACATTTGCAAAGCTTTCTGTGCTCCATGTGATTGCAGAATAGAGTCGTTAAGGAAAAGAAGCAGGGCAGTCCACCCCCGTGCCTGGTGCACTTTCATGTCTACCTCCTGAGGTTTACCTGCTACTGTTCAGTAAGTGGCAAAACTACAAAAGGAGGAAAAGTTGGAAGAAGAGGAGATAAAAATGAAATAACACTGCTGTTTGCTCTTTGGTTTAAATTTGTCTTTACCCACAAACCAAATCCTGAAATATATATTATTCACATTAATTATGAGAGAAGAAAAATTCCAAGATGACATAACTTGTGCAGCATCACAAAATTACTAAGCAGCAACGTGGGATTGACACCCAAGTCTCTCTGGGTCTGACTCCAAGCCAAAAATCCCTCTTGTCCTCACTGCCTGATGTTCCGGGTACTCCACATTGATGAGGTCGGAGCCTTTATGCTAGATTTCGCCTCCTCTTATCTCCCTACAAAGGGATAGACTTGACATCATGCTGAATTCTATAAACACTTAGTCTTACACTCTGGAAATGTCACTTCTTATTTTAAAAATTCTCAGTGGCATTTTCAAAGTGCACTCTCCAGGAGGCATGTATATTACATTTCATACAAAGACTGATGACAATTAAAGTTAAAATAAAATGACTTGTAAAGTAAAATGGAATACACTTACTGTTATCCATTTTAAATCTGGTGCTGAGTTCATGACCAAACCATCCCACCAACCTAAAATATAAATAACAACATTAGATACTTTGGTCTACAAAAATAATCACAATTAATATAGAAATCTAGGGCCTGCATATTGAAACCACTTTTGATACAAGTTATCAAATACTTGAATATATAAATTCAATATGATATCTTAAAACCATTCATATTTATAAACATATCAAGACTAAGGATTAAATCAACTTTTCATATCACCAGTTATATTGTTTTTGTAAAGAGCTATATTTAATTACCTTTCTCATATTTAAAATAAAATTAAATGAATAAAAATGTTTGGCTTTTAAAATTTTAAAACAAAGATAAAAGCTCAAAAAAGAAAAGCATTAAAACAATATATTTTATGATAAAACCCCTAAAGAGAAATGGTATAAAAAAAACTATATAATAGCCCTAACCGGTTTGGCTCAGTGGATAGAGCATTGGCCTGCGGACTGAAGGGTCCCCGGTTTGATTCCGGTCAAGGGCATGTACCTTGGTTGCAGGCACATACCCAGTAGAGGGTGTGCAAGAGGCAGCTGATGGATGTTTCTCTCTCATCAATGTTTCTAACTCTCTATCCCTCTCCCATCCTCTCTGTAAAAAAAAAAAACCCTATATAATAGTTGAAAATTTTTGAATGATTTTCTAAAGAAATTGGTTACTTTCATATTTTAATTAAAATGTTAATTTTTGTTATAGGAAAATATATAGGAAAATTATATGAATGTGTAATAGATGGAAAAAATACAAAATAGTTTAAAGAAAAATATAAAATTTGAGGAAGGGTAATACAATATTCCTGGTAGTAAGTTGTCTCTAAATAAATTTTTAACTTTAAAAAGGCTATAAAATAGTAAGTAAGTAAAACAATAGAAACTTAATAAAATAATTTTCCATAAATGGAAAATTGCCAAGTAGAAATGCAGGAATAGGACTGATTATAGTGTGGCAATAGGAGAGTAAAAAATAAGCTTGCAGAAATCAGAAAATATTAGAAAAAAAGAGAAGAATTTGGAAGGAATGCAAGGATGTCAGGAAACTAGAATACATCAAGGGGCAGAGGATAGCTGTGAGAAAAAAAAAAGATTTAAAATAGTTTAGGGAGAAAATCCAATATAATAAAACCCTGATATGCAAATCGACCAAACTGCGATTTGCTGGCAGGTGGACATCCTTAAGCCGGCAGGCAGACATCCCCCAAGGAGTCCGGGACTGCGAGAGGGGGCTGAGGAACCCCACTCCTCCAGTGCACAAATGTCGTGCACTGGGCCTCTAGTAATAAATTAATAGACAAAACAATTCTATCATCACCAGAGTGAACTTCCAAAGAAGGAAAGCAAACAAATAGAAAAACTTTTTAAAATGGTGTAATTCTCCAGGCCAGGTGTTGGCTCAGTGTTTGAGCTGCCAACCATGAACCAGGAGGTAGCAGTTTAGTCCCTGATGAGCAGGCTCGATCCCCAGTAGGGGGCGTGCAGGAGGCAGCCGATCAATGATTCTCTCTCATGATTGATGTTTGTAGCCCTCTCTCCATCTCCCTTCCTCTCTCTGAAATCAATAACATATTTAAAAAATGAAATAAAACCTGAAGGCATGTTTTAAAAGAATCATCTTTAAAAAGTTATAATTCAAGACAATTTTGATGAAATCAAAACTGATTTAAATCTACATATTGAAATAAATACAAAATTTTCTGAAAGACTTGGGAGAATTAACCAGAGTGGTTAATTTTATTTATAGCTTATTAAAGTTAATGGATTTTAAGGATGAAAAAACAAACAAACAGAACTGTGTTTGCAAACAAAGAGGGTGAAGATGTAAAGCCCTGGACGCAAGCCGCTGTCACAAAGAACCAAGAGACGCTTCTCATGCAAACTGCAAAGGGTTTATTGATACTAGCATGCCAGGACTCACAGCTTTACTCTGAGCACGGAGCAGCCGCTGTGAGCCCCGACCAAGAGTTTAAGGACACATTATATACTTTTTCGGTGGGAAAGGAATGTAGTTTGGGAATTTTCCGCTGATGATCTGGCTTCCTGGGTGAGTTAATGCCTGTCTGGTTTCTTTATCAGATTATCTGTCCTCCAACTCCCTCCCTAGCTGCAGCCACTTCCCGTAACCTCCCTGGCTGCAGCTGTCTTCCATAAAAGTTGTTTGTCATATCTCCCTTTTCTGATCTAGATCAGATTGTCTGTTCCTTAGTTTCCTCCCTGACTACTTCTGGCATCTGTCAAAGATAGAATAAAGGAAAAAATATCAGTGTGGCCTCAAATTTATCTAAAGCAACCATTTATTGACAGAGAATAATGTAGAAATACCTGTATGATACTCAAAGAAAGAGAAAGAAAACATAACGTACAAATATTAGGTTTGGATAAGGCAAACTTGTATAAAGGTTATTGGTGTTGATCAAACAAGAGTTCAGCTAATATTTTTTTTCTCATAAACTCTTCTTGAAAATCTGCCTAAGGGTGAACTTAAATCAGCCAAGAGATGACTAGGGAAATTATGATGTTTGATGACTATTGAATGTATTTAATTATAGAACTAAGAATAAACAAATGTGGAGATAGAACATAAATAAAATGTTACATGATAATGTAAAAATAACTAACACAGTAGGGGGAAGTAAAGTAATTTCACTGCATAATCATCTATAATTTAATAGATCAAATAAAAGAAGCACAATCAGATCTAAAATACAAGTAAACACCAAGAAAGTCAAAAGTGACTAAATCATAGGGTAATGAGAGTATAGGCAGAGGAAGAGAAAACTCTTCCTCTATTGTTGCTCATGAAAGGGAACTAATAGAAAAGGTAAAATTTTAAATTAAAATCTTGACTATCAGAAAAACTAATTAAAACTAATAAATAAGCCTTGGCCAGTGGTTCAGTGGTTAGAGCATGGGCCTGAGCATGGAAGGGTTGCGGGTTTCATTCCCAGTCAAGGGTGCATACCTGGGTTTCAGGTTCAATCTATGGCCTTGGATGAGTAGCATGCAGGAGGCAACCAATCTCTTTTTCTCGCTCTCTCCTCGTCTCTCTCTACTCCCTCCCCTTTCTCTTCTCTCTCCCATGTTTCCACTCTCTCTGAAAATCAATGGAAAAAATATCCTCGGGTGAAGATTAACAATAATAACAAAAAATAATGAACAAAAATAGCAAAACAAACCTTTACAAAGTTCTAGAAGCATAAAGGATGCCATTAAATTAAGACCAGACAGCTGTCACTGCAAATGCCAATGAGTTTCATTAATGTATTAAAAAAACAATGCTATCATATTGTACCAGAAATCAGAGACTGTTAAAATAAGTGATTCAGAAAGAAAAATGATAAAAGTGGGTTGGGGTAGGGGGTGGAGGGTCGAGATGGAAGAGGGCATAGAGGGAATAAATGATAATGAAAAATAAAAGGAAATATTAAATTAAATTAAAAAGAAATATAAAATAAAGAAATATAAAAACAAAACAAAAGGCTGAGCAAAAGTGTAAATGGAAAATGCAAAAGCAAATCAAATGTGGATGCAATTTTTATATCAGACAAGAAGGAATTCAGACCAAAAAAGGAATGAAATGATTTAAATAAGGACATTTTGAAATGCTAATTAAACTAATTCAAAATAAAGATAAAACAGTTATGAATTTCTAGACATTATATAACAGGGCAGCAACATTCATAAATTAGACATTATAGAAGCTACAAGAGCGATAGAAATATTCTGTGTTAGAAGAACTTATTAACCTGAGTTTATGAAAGATCAAGTTGACAAAAATATCAATTAAGAAGGTAAATGAAATCGACAAATGTTTAATGCTTTACTCTGAAGTAAAGATAGCAGTTTTAGAAGTGCTCATAAAATATTAACTAAAACTAAATACAAAACCTTAACATTTCCAAAGTGGATAAATTGTTGAATATATTTTTATTACAATGCAATAAAACTAGTAATTAATAACAAATTCAGACAACAAAAAGACTAAATTACCATTAAAATAAAATTTGTCTCAAAGTACTTTTAGGATCAAACTGAATTGGTAGAATTGTTTAAAAAGATAATACTGTAGAAAAATATATTTGGATATTACTAGAATAGGGCATAGAGAGTAGTTAATAACTTCAGATTTCAGATCAAGAAATTTTAATTAAACTAATCAATAATAAGACTAAAGAAGTTATAAAGAACATAAAAATAAATTGAAATAAAATAGTAGTGTACAATTAATAAAGGTAAAAGCTGAAATTAATTATCAGAAAACAAAATAATAGTTACATTAATACATGAGTAAAAATTTTTGTGATGGGGAGGGATACCAATTGATTGAGAAAATACAAGACAGTATACCTATAAAAATGAAATATTATGGGGAAAGATAATCAAAAGTAAGAACATCATAAAGGCTAGATTGCTGTAATCAATTATAAAACCTAGATAAAATGGATGATATTCTAAGATTCTAAGAGAATATTTATCCAAATTAATTCCAAAAGAGAAAGAAATTTAAACCAAGAGATTTTAATAGAAGAAATGAAGAATTATCTGAAACACCTAAAGAATAAGGACTGATAGGGAAAGTCTATCAACTCTTTTCAGAGTAGATAATTCCAATGCTATTTAAACTATTCCAAAGCAAAAAAACAAACAAACAAACAAATAGAGGGGATATGGGAGGGAGATATTTCCATTATTTTCAAAAACAATATATTAGTGTCATAGTAGGTTAGAATTGCACAGATAAACAACAAGCCAATATGACTTCAGCGATTCTAACAGCATATTAAACTATTAACGTGTTATGAAGAATATATTTCATTTAAAGAATACAAGAATGGGTCTATATTAGCAAATTTATTAATGTACAATTAATCCTATCTAATAATAGACAAACATGGTAATTGACTGTACCTTTGCTATGCCTTCCATTGGCTAATCAGCACGATATGCAAATTAACCCAACCAAGATGGCGGCCAGCAGCCACGTAGCTGAAGCGAGCAGGAGACTTGCTTGCTCCAGTG